ATGATGAAAACCATAAATCACTGTCAGCTAGCCTGCCTAGCAACCAAGTACAAGCCATAATTTGATTGGTTGTCAATTTTGCTGCAGGGAAATATCAGAACAATGGAGAGCCAGTTATAGGATTCATTTGAATTTTCTTTTTTTTTTTTTTTTTTAAGGTCAAAGCCACAGGTTTCTCTTCCATCCTTTCCGCCTCTTAGTTTTCGTATCAATGCCCGACCTCCTGCTGGAAAACTGTACTACTTTGCATATGGTGCTGATATGAACCCAAACAGGTTAGTATGCGACAGGTCTGCCCCTTTGTCACCTTTCACACAAAAAAACTGCTTATCATTTAATTCCCCCTAAATAGGGAATTATTTCCCTTTTGACTAAATTTATTGAAAAAGGTATTGATGAATACATAAAAATAGGAAAAATGTTTTTTTTGGCGGGGGGGGGGGGGGGGTAAACAAAGAAAAGGATGGTACTCGGGGGAAAAAAAATAATGTTGGTGAGATGTGTGTCTCACAGACCAATAATAAAGGAAAATGCTTTGCACTGAATTTGGATTGTTTAACAATGTCCTCATAATATTTGCATATAAGCCTAATTAAATCTAAATTTGTTTTCATCAAGAATCCATGTAGTTTCTCCAATGAATACCCATTCAGTTCTTGACTATCTTGTTTTACCGTACTCGACCGCGTTAGCGCCCATGCCCGGGCAAGCGCCCACCCTCCACTTTTGCGCAATTTTTATATTTGGGGTCACATTCGGCAAAGCGCCCACCCCTTCAAAATGCAACTAATTTAAAACTTGGTCTTGCGTAACGAATCTTGGTAATCGTTTTTATATGATACAGCGTGGATATCGACCGCTGTGAACATGTTGTGAATGCGTAGAACACGGTAACCGTGCGTAAACTACGCTTCGACAATGACCTGTTAATACAAGTAAAATGCGGTAAATATTTCATGCCATATTCAGTTTACCTCTCAAAAATGGCTAGTTACTAGTTTTTTGGAAAAACCATGTCGTTTATTCGCTGAAATCAATTCCAACAGATCGTACTTCGACATCGATAATTCACTTCCGCATTGCGTTGTCGGAAAGTCTTCGGGAATTTACGAAGAATTGCGTCAGTGCAACACAGCATTCTGATTGGTAAATAACCATGACCCATTAGGTCAAAGGATGCTGCTGCAGGTCAAATGCAATTGCATCATGGCGGAAAGTGATTTTCATCGAGAGTTTGCGTACAATCCAACACCTTCGTCAGTGGAGATAATATGACAATTTTGACTTCGACTGTGTTCCAACAGACTCAAATGTTTTTAATTTCATAAATTCTGGTGGTACGTAATTAATATTGCAATAAAATGTGCATATTTTTTGTGATAATTTCTGTTTCTTCATTGTGAAAATCAATGACGACTCAACTAATTTCGTAATTTGATTTTCCCTCAAAGACGTAATCTGTCACTTGATGAATCAAATTTTTCAATTGCACTCTTTTTCGAGGGGGGTGCTCGGGTAAGCGCCCACCCCTAAAAAATCGTGATTTTCTGAGTTGAGGCCCCTGGGCGCTAACGCGGTCGAGGTAATAGTGATCTGATTTCTTCAATAATCTGGTTTCACAAAACTTGAAATCTACAAATTTCCTTTGACCTTCTTAGAACCACTCTAGAGACAAATGTACACAGACTTTGCTAATCAGTGAATATTGCTAGCTTTTGTAATCGTGAAAAAGTTTTTACAACATTCACAATTGTTTTACTACAGACTACAAACTAACTTTGTGGATGGTGCCTTTGTGGATAGTGCCTGAAGTTGACTTTCACACAGGGTTAAAGCACCACGCCATGTTTGTTACCAGTTTAGACAAAATTCAAACACAAATTGCATAAATATTTCATTTATTGTCAGACTTTATGAAAATTATAACCTCAGCATGTCATCCACGTGCATCTTTGGATTCCACTTTAAAACTATGACTATTAAATATAATTATTATACCTCTGTCACCGTTATGCTATAAGGTATTGCACTGGGTATTTTCATAATACTATATTAGGAAATGCCAATTCTAAATATGGAATGATTATGCGCGTAAACATCCTGTAATCATAAAAAACAAACATGGCTGCCCCCAGGGTTTGACTGGACCTCACACCAAAAAGTTTGCTAAATCTGTTCTAAATGTTTTGGATTTTCGGTATTCCCATGATGTATAATAATAAGGTCATTATGAGGATACTGCAAAGTATGCACTCAGACAGTACGTGGTCACATCGACCTCCGATGCGCGTCGGCTGATACTCCCCCTGTACTATCTTTGTGCATAATTTGTAATATTCTCGCAATAACCTTGTCCATCTTTTCCTCCCAGGAATACATCATGGGAATACCAAAAATCCAAAACGCTTAGGACAGATTTAGCAACTTTTTTGGTGTAGGGTCCAGTCAAATCATCATTCCCATTAGTGTCAGTACGGTAAACGTGTTTGCTTCTTTCCTCAGAATGACTACCTACATTGGGCGTGAAATAGATCATAGACTATGGGGTGTACTGTTTGGATTTAAACTACGCTTTAATAAGAAAGGATCTGATGTAGAGGCTGGTGGATTTCCTAATATAGAATACGACACGAACAGTTCGGTCGAAGGATGTGTGTATCTATTGAACCAACAGGAACTGCACAGTTTGGATACGTTCATGGGATACCCTGAGGTTAGTTTCATTGCACCACGCCGGTCAAATCGTATCAGTGATCACCTTTATATAAAGACCACATGCAAATACAAATGTATAGTGTCTACCTTTAGGCAGTTCCAATGTACACATTCACCTTACCAGCTCAGACTGTGTTCACCTCTTATTGTTTTCAACTAGGACAGGTTTCACTGTATTCACCTCGATCAGACTATGTACCACACATGTTCAGCTTAGACTGATTTCGCTGTCATCATTAGTTTAAAAGTTCCTCTTTTATTTTCCAGCACTATTGTCATGTTATGCTACCAGTATGGATGATGAATTGCCATCAACCGGATGAACTTGGTGTTGCTCAGTACTGTATACCTGCTGTTATGTACATTGCACAGGATGTATGGACACAGAAAGGTTAGTATAATTTGGCCCTCGGCCCCAGTATGGCCCTCGGCCCAAGTATGGCCCTCGGTCCCAGTATGGCCCTCGGTCCCAGTATGGCCCTTGGTCCCAGTATGGCCCTCGGTCCCAGTATGGCCCTCAGTCCCAGTATGGCCCCCAGTCCCAGTGTGGCCCCCAGTCCCAGTGTGGCCCTCAGTCCCAGTGTGGCCCTCAGTCCCAGTGTGGCCCTCAGTCCCAGTGTGGCCTTTAGTCCCAGTGTGGCCTTTAGTCCCAGTATGACCCCCCCCCCAGTCCCAGTATGACCCCCCCCCCCAGTCCCAGTATGACCACCAGTCCTAGTGTGGCCCTCAGTCCCAGTATGGCCCTCAGTCCCAGTGTGGCCCTCAGTCCCAGTATGGTCCTAGTATGGCCCTCAGTCCCAGTATGGCCCTCAGTCCCAGTATGGTCCTCAGTTCCAGTATGGTCCTAGTATGGCCCTCAGTCTCAGTATGGTCCTAGTATGGCCCTCAGTCTCAGTATGGTCCTAGTATGGCCCTCAGTTCCAGTATGGTCCTAGTATGGCCCTCAGTCGCAGTATGGCCCTCAGTCCCAGTATGGCCCTCAGTCCCAGTATGGCCCTCAGTCCCAGTATGGCCCTCACTCCCAGTATGGTTCTCAGTTCCAGTATGGTCCTAGTATGGCCCTCAGTCTCAGTATGGTCCTAGTATGGCCCTCAGTCCCAGTATGGTCCTAGTATGGCCCTCAGTTCCAGTATGGCTCTCAGTCGCAGTATGACCCTCAGTCCCAGTATGGTCCTAGTATGGTCCTAGTATGACCTTCAGTCGCAGTATGGCTC